AATTTTGCTTTTTCTGCTTTTTTTGTTTTTTCTCTTTTCTTTCTCTCTCTCTCCTTTCACTTCCCCTCCCCCCTCCCCCGCCCCCTTAACCTCTTTGGTCTTTACCTCCTTTTCATTTACTACTACTACTTATTATTAATATTAATATTATTGTTATTAAATTCTGTATTGCTTTAGGAACTTTGTTGAATTGTGAGATTATTTATAGCAATGAAGGAATGCAGAAGTTTGATGTGGAGGAGGAGGGGAGGGAAGTATTAACTTGGAAGTAGAAGCTGAATCATATGCTAGATTTATTGTATGATAATTGTTTGAGCTTTTTTTAAATGGACAATAGAGGTAAAATGAAGACCTTACGTATAACTATCAATGGGATGAACTCCCCTTCTAAACAAACTAAGTTTTTAATTAAAAAATGAGGGCAGATATAAAATGTATTCAAGAAACTCAGATAAAGAAAAAAAATGTTCATGTTCTGAATCGCAAAAATCTGGGTGGGGTTTTTGCAGCCTCAGTAGATCCTAAAAAGAAGGGAGCTGCCATATTAGTAATCAAGGACTAAATGTGGTAAAAGAATTTGAAAGTTTATTGCCTTGGAGATTAGATTTCTGAGTGGGAAAATTAATACATTGGCAGTGATTTATGCACCAAATGATGCAAAAGAATTTTTTTATGAAAAATTATTTCAGTTGATATTGGATTTTCAAGAAGGAAAAGTTCTGATTATTGGTGATATGAATGGAGTTATCTATAAGTCGATTTTTTTGACATTGATAAGTCAAAAAAAGCTAGAGGTGGTAAATTACCTAAAAATGTTTTTAACTACATGGAGATGCTGCAGTTAGAAGATGCATGGAAATTAAAAAAATCCTACAGTTAGGGATTATACCATTTTTCTGATAGACAACAGACATATTCAAGGATTGACATGTGCTGAATATCTAAAAAATTAATTATGAATTTAGGGGCAGTAAAGATCTTACCCAAGTTACTTTCTGATTATAATCCATTGGAGATAATATGGCAGGAAGGTTGGAGGAAGAAGATGGAGACTCAATGATAATCTTTTGCTACAAGAAGATATTTTGAGAAAGTCAGAAGTACTGGAAGAATTCTTCAGATTAAATAATACTAATGATGTCTCCACAGTCACAATTTGGGAAGCCAGTATAGCTGATATGAGAGGACACTTTATAGAAACAATGTCTAAGGAAAAGAGAGAGAAGTCAACAAACACACACACACCCCTTTTTGGGGCATATTCAAATACTAGAGGATCAACATAAAAAAGCAAGATAAACTAATTTTAACTGAACTCATACAACTAAGAAACCAGCTAGATATTTTAGAGACAAAGGAGATAGAAAAGGAGCTGAGATTTTTTAAAACAGAGACACTTCAAACATGCAAATAAGCCTGGAAGATATTAAGTGTATTGTCTCAAGAAGGAAGTGAAAAGAAGATCTATAATAGCAGTGAAGAAGGATAATGGCATAACATATGTGGAAAAGGAAATTCATGAGCAATTTATTGACTTTTTCCTCAAAGCTATATAAAAAAATCAACCCCAGAAGATGGGATGGAGAAGTATATTGAAGAAACAAGGCTTAAGAAATTCACTCTGGAGCAGAGGGAAATATTAAATGATACCATTACTATTCAAGAGCTATCACAAGCTATTGACAATTGAAAAAAGATAAAGCACCTGGTCCTGATGGATTGGTCCTGCTATGTACTATAAATGCTTAGAGGAAAAACTAATTCTCCTGCTACAACAAGTAACAAATGAAATCAAAGAAGGATTACTGCCACCAACATGACAAGAAGCTCATCATATCATTGATACATAAAGAAGACAATGATCCTATGTTACCACACTCGTATCAGCCTATTGCATTACTAAATGTTGATTATAAGCTTTTCATTTCAAAAATGGCAGAAAGATTAAGAAAACATATTGAAAAACAGATCCAAACACACCAAACTGGATTTGTCCCTAAAAGAAACATGAAAGACAATATACATTTTGTAATTGATGCAACTGAATGGGCCAAGAAGAAAAGGAAAAAAGCTGCATTCCTTTTTTGTTTGTTTGTTTGTTTAGATGTGGAGAAAGCTTTTGATAATGTGGCTTGGCCTTTTCTACTGAAAACCCTTCAACATTTAGACTTTTTGAATTGGATGCAGGCAGTTTATACCAGTCAACATGAGGAGATTCTAATCAATGGTGTATTAACTGACAGCTTTCAAATGGAGAAGGGAACACGTCAAGGATGCCTTTATTGCCTATTTTATTTAATCTTGTATTGAAAATCTTAGCAAAAAAAATAAGACAGGATCCAAAAATTAAGGGCTTTAAAATAGGCGGAGAAGAATATAAAATAAAATGTTACGCAGATGATATAGTCATGACTATTTTGGATCCAATCCATACAGCATATAATAGAGCAAGTTGGAAAATTTGGACTTTATTCAGGATATATAATAAGAAAAAAACAAAAAAATATATTAAAATTCATAACAAAACAGGAAGAGGAAAATAAAAAAAAATCTCAGGATGTGAAATAACTTCAAACCCAGTTAAATACTTAAGGATAAACATCACAGGATATAATCACACACTTTTTCAACACAATTTTCAAACAACTTGGAAGATTCAAAAGGACTTACAAAAATGCACTAAACTAAAATCATCTTCACTGGGAAGAATTTCAAGTGTAAAAATGAATGTGTTACCTAAACTGGACTTTCATTTCCAGATGATACAAATTGTGATTCCAGAAAAAGTTTTTCAAGATTGGCAGAAACAATTAGTTTTATTTTATAATGGCAAGAAACCAAGGATCAGATTCAAAATTTTATAGGACACAAAGGAGAGAGGAGGCCTTGCTGCACCTAATTTCAAGTTATATTATTATGTTGTAGGCCTGGTATATATTGCAGATTGGATTATAAATGCTAATGACAGGTAAGTGAAGTTGGAATTGGCTGACCTTGAAGATGGAATACATAATCTTTTATGGACTGAAACATCAGTCAAGAAGGCTCTGGTCTTAAATAACAATAATGTGCTAAGAGATAATTTAATTTAAAAAATGGTATTCCATGAGGAAAAAAATCAGTCCTCCAATCTCCCCTGATGTCTCCAGTTGAAGGATATGGAAAACACTCAAGGAGAAATAATGATCTTATAGCTTATTGAGATGTTATTGACCATTCAGGACAAATTTAATCTTGACAAGAACTGAAAGATGAAGGGCAAACATACAATGAGTTGTTTACTATCAATTGAATTAAAGACTGAAGGGGGAGACTCAACCAGGAGAAGGCATTTTAAGGTAACTGACAGAATTTGAAATGTTGATTACACAGCAGAATGATCACTTACTGGGAAGACTTTACAAATTGTTATTATACTATGACACTGAAAGCCATCAAGAGATGCACGACAATTTGGAAACAGAATCTTGCTGAAGAAATATCATCTGGTCAGTGGGAAGCTCTTTGGAAGAAAGATATTAAATTCACTGCTAATCGAGCATTAAGAGAAAATTGGTATAAGATGTTTTATCAGTGCTATATTACTCCAAAAGATATCAGAAAAATAAATAAGGGTAGATAAGACCTCCTATCATATGTGGTGGACATGCAAAATAACACAAAAATACTGGAAATTGATACATGCAGAAATGCAGAAAATTTTAAGAATTAAGTTTCCTGTGAGTCCCAAGAATATGCTTTTGAATATTGTCCCAGAGACCCTTCAAAATATGCCAGAGTTATTTAAGTATATGACTGCAGCAGCATGAATCACAATGACTTCAAAATGAAAATCACCAGAGGCCACAACCATTGAAGAATGGAGAACTAGATAGCAGAATATGCAGTGATGGCAAAGCTAACTAATTATGTAAACAGAAGACCATTAGATGAATTTAATGACAAATGGAAATTTTATTGTGCTTAGAATGATTAATGGAAGCCCAGGGGAGTTTGGAAGAGAAAAAAGAAAGCATTAGAATTTGAACTAGAAAATCTGTTGATGTATAAATTAATGATTCTTTTTCTTTTTCACAAACTCTCATAGAGGGTGGGAAGATATGAAAAGAGTAGGTTCAGGGGGCTGCAATATATGGGCAAGGTTGTTTGTAATTCCCTTGGCAACAACTTCAGATATGCAGATGATACCATTCTAATGGCAGAAAGTGAAGAGGAACTAAAGAGCCTCTTGATGCGGGTGAAGGAGGAGAGTGCAAATGTTGGCCTGAAACTCAACATTAAGAAAACTAAGATCATGGCATCCAGTCCTCCCACTTCCTGGCAAATAGATGGGGAAGAAATGGAGGGAATGACAGATTTTATTTTCCTGTGCTCCAAGATCACCACAGATGGGGACTACAGCCAAGAAATTAAAAGATGCTTGCTCCTGGGGAGGAGAGCTATGGCAAATCTAGACAGCATACTAAAAAGCAGAGACATCACCCTGCCAACAAAAGTGTGTATAGTCAAGGCTATGGTTTTCCCAGTTGCAATGTATGGCTATGAAAGCTGGACCATAAGGAAGGCTGAGTGCCGAAGGATTGAGACCTTTGAGTTGTGATGCTGGAGGAGACTCCCGCGAGTCCCTTGGACTGCAAGGTGATCAAACTGGTTAGTCCTTGAGGAGATCAACCCTGACTGCTCTTTAGAAGGCCAGATAGTGAAGATGAAACTCAAATACTTTGGCCACCTAATGAGAAGGAAGGACTCGCTGAAAAAGAGCCTAATGCTGGGCACAATAGATGGCAAAAGAAGAAGGGGACGGCAGAGAATGAGGTGGCTAGATGGAGTCACTGAAGCAGTTGGTGTGAGCTTAAGTGGACTCCGGGGGATGGTGGAGGACAGGAGGGCCTGGAGGAATGTTGTCCATGGGGTCGCGATGGGTCGGTCACGACTTCGTGACTAACAACAACAACAACAACAAGGAAGAGTCTGTTTTTATGTTAAATTATTTGCTGGTGTTGACAGTCTCTCTCTTACGATCGGACAACAAACAAGAGGGACCTCCTTTTTTGTCCTCAACAAAAACAAGATTTGCTACCACTTGCAGGTCTGTGTGTGAGAATTATCATCAATATTAACTAGTTCTGTAAACAAGCTGATTACTGTGAAATAAACATAAAAGAAAGACACAGCGGAAACAACAGAGTGTCTTTGTATGACATCACTTAAAATAATAACATAGACATTGTTTTGCTATCAAAACGTAAAATCACTGCAATACAGTGTGTTACAGTTTCTCTTTGGGATTTGGATTTATCTTCTCATTTATCCAGTCCACATATTTTGTCACTCTTGTATAAACACCAGGCTTTCCAGCCCTGCTGCAGCCATCACCCCAACTGATAACGCCATACAAGTAAGATATTCCATCCTTTTCACAGGCAAGTGGCCCTCCAGAATCTCCCTGTTTCAAAGATATAGACATAAAGTTAAATTTAATAGCAAAAGTATTTCAGTACCACTTTCAGGCAAATGTTGAAATATTGGCTTGTAATAATTATGTCGTGAGTGGAGCCGGCTGGTGCCGGAGGTCAGACTAGATGGCCCGGGAGGTCCCTTCTGACTCACTCTGTTTTCTATGTTTCTATGTTTCCATTATAACAGGCGTGAGGTTTGTGCAGGTGTGGAGACTGACAGATTTGTTTCCAATGTGATCTAACAGGATCATCATATAGTTGAAATGAGTGGGGGTGGAACAAGCCAGAGCTGGAAGCCTGTGTTGGGAGTAATGAGAACAAGCTTTGAATCTGAATTGTGCTAGAAAATAGTGTTATGGAGTTGAGTAGAGAACAGCATGAATGCTTTGAGCTCTGTGATGTGTTATTTATTTATTTATAAAATTTGTATGCCGTTCAATTGCTAACATCTCTGGACGGCTAACAGCATAAATAAATTGATGACCCACTCTGGCTGCAATTAATAAAATACAATAATAAAATTTGATAATAAAACTCGATATTCGATGTTAGTCATTCATAAGCCATGATCATGGCTTGGATGTAGTTAGTTTTCTCAGATTGTTAAAATATTACATTGGCTCTAAGGGGTTTTACCACTAAAAAATTTATTAACGTGTGGTGATCCAGCCACAAGTCTTTTGGAATCTTGTCATGGACATATCCAGCAACACACCCTGTTCCATGAATGGCAGAGAAAACAGGGTGCCCACACTTCTCTTTGCTCTTCTCCTGCTGTGGCCTTTTCTGCTGCCATCAAGTGGAGCTCAATCCAGACAAGACAGAGGTCCTGCTGGTAGGTGGTTCAAGCCCCTGGGAAGGTGACTTGGATCTTGTCCTGAATGGGGTTGAACTCCCTCTAAAGGACAGAGTCCGCAGCTTGGGAATGTGCCTTGAACCGGAGCTATCTTTGGAAACTCAAGTGACGGCGGTGGCGAGGAGCGCTTTCCATCAGCTTCGACTAATCCATCAGCTACGTCCCTACCTGGAGGTTGACTGCCTAGAGACAGTGATGCATGTATTGGTTACTTCCTGGCTGGATTTCTGTAACGTGCTCTACGTGGGGCTACCCTTGAAGACAATCCGGATACTTCAGATTGTGCAAAATAGAGCAGCCAGGTTGCTGACGGGGACTGGGTGTTATTCTTATATAACCCCAGTCCTCTACCAGCTTCACTGGCTTCCCATTGAAGTCCAGGTTCAATTCAAGGTGTAGGTAATCACCTACAAAGTCCTTAACAGCTTGCAACCTGAATACCTGAAGGAACACCTTCTTCCATATTTGCCCTCCCGCCCCTTGAGATTGGCAGCAGAGGCCCTCCTCCGAGAGCCTTCTGTGAGAGACATTAGGAAGCAAAGTACCCGGAGGAGGGCTTTCTCTGAGGTGGCGCCCCATCTGTGGAATGCACTCCCCAGAGAGGTCCGCCTGGCACCATCGTTATTTGTTTTTCGGCACCAGGCTAAGACCTTTATATTCAAACAATATTTTAATAATGTTTAATATTTTTAGGTTTTAATTGTGCAGCTGAGGTGTTTCCTGGTTTTAGTTGTATTTTAATTGTATTTGTATTATATTTATTTATTTGTGTGAGCTGTCCTGAGGCTATATAGCAAGGCGATGGCATACAAAAACCTTAAATAAATAAATAAATAAATAAATAAATAAATAAATAAATAAATAAATAAATAAATCTATATGATTTTCTGGCTGTGCTCACCAGACCAGCCTTAAAACTCACTGAGTCTAGCAGTATCTACATTAGGTAGTGTTGGGATTGGCTCTTAGACATGGAGACATCCTGAAAGAGACCAAAAAGCTTTTCTGGAAGAAATGGCAAGGAAATGAATACAATATAGATATATAATCTACTGTAGTATATTGTATTATTATATATGCATAATCATGTATATTATACTGTATAATCTGTACAATACAGGTATATATGTACAATACACAATAGATTACACCCATTCACCAATAGAATAATAAAACAACCAAAATTAACACATCTAGCTGACTTAACTGAACTGTGCTCCCATTTTATATAGAGTCTTTATATAAGAATTATCATACTGTCACTCTCACAATCAGTTCTCTCGTACCAGCAGGCATGAAACTGTCTTTACTCTAAAACTTTGGCCAGCCAACTGGGCCGCTTGCCTTCCCTCTTTTTCTTTTTCTCTGCCTTTCCACATTTGGCTTCTAACTTGTAAAAATATTTCTCCCTCCCTATCAAGAGGATGGTTTCTAGTACAGTTTTGCAAACTACGTTTCTGTTTCCTTAGCTGAACATTTGCTGTCCCCCTTTCACTGACATTCTATTGAACTGCATAATTTTCTGCCTTTTGAGGACAACTTCCTGATATGTACATACTAGCTAAACATATGATTTCTAAAGTATTAACTTTTTTAATGAAACTATCACATACACACATGGGAAGGGAGTTAGATTTAGATTTAACCACATAATATCTTAAGAACCAATTAAATATGAAATGGAAGACAGGTATTCTTCACATGTATGAACTGAGAGACAAAATGAATTTTGCTTTATTTGATGAATGAATGAAAAAAGACTGAAATAATATAACAGTGTGTAACAGTGGTTTGTAGTACTGGAAGCACAAAGAAATCCAGCATAACCAAAAAGAGCACATTCCTGCAGTCCATTTCCTGGGGCAGATAGTGCCCCAAGGCAAGCAAAGCAGTCTCTGTCCCATACCCAAGCCTGACACCAGGCTGAAATGGGTCTAGATTACAGTTCGAGGCCAAAATACCATAACATTTCCTAGAATCATAGAATAGTAGAGATAGAAAAGGCTAATAAGGCCATCAGGACCAGTTATCTGCTAACTGCAGAACTCCATTTTAAACAATCCCTAACAGATAGCTGCTATTTGCATCCTGGATGCCTCCAGTGTGGGAGAGCCCACAGCATGCTTAGGCAATTGGTTCCATTGTCATATTCCTCCAACAGTTAGGAATTTTTTCCTTCCTGTAATTTAACCCCATTATTCTGTGTTCCACATTCTGGCTTGATTGAGAACAGCTCTTGGCCCTCCTCTATGTGATAGCCTTTCAAGTATTTGAAGAATGCTAGCATATCTCCCCTCATTTTTCTTTTCTCCAGAACACACTCAGTTCTTTCACTCTGTCTACATAGGGTTTTGTTTACCATCCCCTATCATCTTTGTTGCCCTCCTCTGAATTTTTTCCAGTTTGTCTGTATCTTTCTTGAAGTGCATTGTTAAGAACTGGATGCAGTGCTTGAGACGGGGACTAACTAGAAGGGAACCAGCACCTCGTGTGATTTGGAAACTGTGCTAATGCAGCCCAATATAGCATAAGCTTTTTTTGCAATCTCATCACATTGTTGTCTACTCATATTCAACCTGTGATTTACAACAATTCCAAGATCCTTTTCACTTGTAGTATTGTTCAGCCAAGTATCACCCATCTCGTAACTGCATTTGGTTCCCCTTTCTGTAGGCATTTGTCCCTACTGAATTTCATTCTGTTGGTTTCAGCCCACCACTCCATTGTATCAAGATCATGTTGAATTTTGTTTCTGCTTCCAGGGTATAACCCTAATCATGTAATTTGAGATGATAACATTTCCTTGTATTATTTATTTTACTTCAGTCTAAGCACTTCATAACATATTTCAGTAATGGTTTACAGCCTCCTTATGATTCAACAAAATTTGAATTACCTCTATAAAATGAACTCCCATAATCACATTTCACTTGCAACATTTTATAATTTTATGTTTGTCTTAAAATTCCTATAGAATTCATCTTGAGATTGATAAGGCCCCCAAATCCATGCCAATTAATAAATTGAGCTTTTTACCATTCCTATATCTAGCTATCTCCTACTTTATAATATTGTGAAAGGTACAAAGATTATTTCTGACTAAGGCTGCAGCACTTTGTTTTTTTCTTCTCAGCGGAAGCTGCATAAACACCTCTCAGTTTAAAAGCTTTCAAATATTGATTATTCCCTTCTTGGAGATAATAAAAAATCTGGCCCCTCTTTTCTCAACCATTTTGAGTATTTATGTTTCTCATTAGGCGAGAGAGACCTCTTTTTGCTGATGCCAGAGTGTAGGACATAGAATAATCAAGTTGAGACAACCCAGATTCAGGCTAAATATCTGGAAAAGTTTTTTGCTGTCAGGGAAATCCAACAGTGGAACCAATTACCAAGAGATGGGCTCTCCCACACTAGAGACATTCAAGGCAGAAATGGACAGCCATCTGAGTAGGATGGTGTAAACTGATAACTTGCAACAGCAGAGGGTTGGACCTCATGGTCTTCTGGGTCTTTCCAACTACATTCTATAATCTTATGAATCCCCGTAATGTTTAAAAAGAGAACATTCAATGTCTTCATCTTATTAAATAATCAAAATGGCAGGAGAACGGTAAAAGAAAAGTGTACAGGGCAGTTAATGAAAATAAATAACAACACACACACTCCTTTCCCTCTTGGCACTTGAGGGAAGTAGACTGGCACAGCCAAGATACTTCATACCATGGTGGAACCTGCATCCTGCCCCGCTCAGTATATCCACTGAACTCCATTTCTGAGGTTCTTTCTGTGATGTTAGAGATGCAGCCAAGTTTTTCTCTGCATTGGTTGCAGGGACAGGTGGGCAGGAGTGCACTTCATGTGCAACTACAAGGTCAGAGTACTTTTTAAACCTCATATCTGAGTCTTCAAAACATTCTTTGGTCATCCATACTCCTAAGCTAAAGAATTGTGCTGCCCGTTAATTAAAAAAAATCTTAAAACATAGAATAAACACCAGGAGGGGAACAGAGTCATACAAGTGCCCATAGATGTGCCTACTAATACAGCATCAGAGACCTCAGACCTAAAGTATATAACATCAATCCATATAATACCAATCAGTACTTGTATCTGAAAAAATCCAAATGAAAACAAATTAAGACAGAATATATAGCTACAATAAGTAGCTATTGGCACCAAAAGGTTTTAGCACCACAGACTCACTCATTTACTCACTCTCAGATAAATCTACTTTAGTCAGAAACTCAGTAGCATTACCTGGCAAGCATCTGATATGCCATCAAGATAGCCAGCACAGAACATATTTTCACTAATTTCCGCTCCATAAACATCATAGTTTCGACAGATGTGATCAGGGATAATAGGAACTGTTACTTCTTGTAGTATACTAGAGTAGCCAGATGAATCTGTTGGAATGAATCATATAGGAAATAAGGAATTAAGGGCACAATCCTATGGAAGTTTAGACAGAAAAATGGCCTACAGCTCATGCCATGTCCCAGCCAGATACGTACTAGGAGTTGTAGGCCCTTTTCCTTTCTAAACATGCATAGCATCGAACCATAAATGAGATGAGTAGCCAAAAACAAGGACAAAAAAAACTGCCATCATAAGTCTCAAAGCTGTATTGCTTCTAATCACAACTTACGTTGAGCTTTTGATGTGCTAGCATACCGGCTGTACTTCAGACTTCCTAACCTGCTGCTCAGATGTTCTACAACTTCCATCAGATCAAGCTAGCACAGCTTGATCTGATGGTAATCATGGCTGAAACATCTGGAGGGCACCAGATGCATAGGCTGGTATACTTGATGGATAATCTAATTGTGCCAGATGTCATGAAGAACTAATTTTAAACGCCATACATACACCAATTACACAGTGCTGAATGCTAGCATATTTACCCCCTTTCCTATAATTTTTAAATGGTTGTATTTTTATTTCACATTTTGATGAACTGTTTACATCTTTATTCAATCATGTAAAGAAAAGTTTTCACTGGTTTGGTGAAGTTCTGAGAAGCAGCAAAAAATATTACATTTTTGTTGTCCTGTTAAAACCTCTTCTAATTACTCCATGCATGCTCACTTTCTCTCTGAAACCAGAATACTGCTAGTACTCTAGTATTTTCAGAGGGGCTGTACCTTGCGGTGGGAGTTTACTACATTGCCCCTTTCCTTTAGTAATAGAATACAACTTCTCAGTTAAACTGCACATTACTTCATGGATTGGGACTTTAATACTTGGGAAAACTTTAAACTCTTTGGTCACAACCCAAACCAGTTATCATGGATGCAATTTGCATTGCTAAAATGTGATCCAGCTATAATATGAATCGCAGGTAGAAGGGGCCCTGATCTGGATAGGGAACAGCAGAGGGCAAAAGTGTAACTCCCCATGCAATCCCCATGTTGCTGTCCTGATCTACATGGGATTTCCTGTATTTAACATTTTAGCTGCTAGTTACAGCTTTACAATGTAGTTTGACCCTCAGGGAATGAGGGTGATGGTTGTGATGAGGGCATGGAATGCACTGGTGGGAGAAATGGATCAGGGCTTCATGCCACTTTTCCAAAAGTAAAAACATAGCACAAGGGCCACAACACGCAGAGCATGTACTTTGCATGCAAAAAAATCCCAGGTTCCATTTATGCAATCTTTCCACCTTGGGCGCATTAAATATTGGTTCCATTTTTTTCCAAATCTTTAAAGTAAATTTCATGAGGCCGTAACTCATGTCTCCAATTAACTCACACAGCAGTCGGCAATAAAACTAAAGACTTTTACTGCTGTTCGCTACAAGATTTACAATGCAACAGATAAGCTGTGGCAATGAGCTCCTCGCAGCTCAGTTGCCCCCTCCTTTCTGAATTCTGAGGGGAAAAGTCATGTGGATCTCAATCTCCTCTCACGTCTTTCTGTTTGTGGGTGGGACACACTTCTCTGCTGCCGTCCCAATTGGTCTAACCACTGCAATCTTCTCTGGAGCTGAGTGTTCCATAAATTTCCTGTTATGTCTTCCTGTTCTCCAGGACTCTGCTCAGCAGCTTTAGAGTCAGGAGGCGGGAGACAACTTGTTCAAACACCTCAGAGTCTAGAGGAAGGGAAGCTGCACTCTGCTCAAACAACTCAGAGCTAGGGTGTGGGGAGGCTACTCACTCGGAAGCCTCAGTTTCTTCTTGAGAAGAAGAAAAAGAAGGTGGCTGCATTTATGTTTTTAGATGCTGAAAAAAGCATTTGTTAATGTCTGTTGACACTATTATTTCAATTGTGGTCCAAGATTTATGTATTGAATTCAGGCAATTTATACAAATAACAGAATGCAAAGATTTTAATAAATGAAGCTTTGCCTAATGGTTTCCAAAAAGTTAAAGGAACATGACAAGGATGTCCAGTATTACCATTTCTACTTATCCTTATATTGGAAGTCTTAGCTATAAACATAAGACTACTTTCAAGTCTTCAAAAATTAAAAACTTGAAATTAGACAGAAAATAATACTAAATGAAAAGATGCTGACGATATGGTATTGATGAACCTAAATCCACATCTATCAATGCAACATGTAATTGATCAAAATGAACAATTTGGATCTTTCTCTGGCTATAAAATTAATTTAAAAATCGTTTTTAAATTTCTAATGAAACGAAAAGAAGAGAATATCTCAGGATGTGAAATACCTTCTAATTGAATTACATACTTGCAAATAAATGTGACTGGACATAATAATACATTATTCCAAGACAATTATAAAGTAATATAGATGAAGATCCAAACAAAGATCTACAATGATGGTATAAATTTTAAAAAAATGTCATGGCTGGGAAGAATTTTCACTATAAAAATGAATATCCTACTAAATTGGAACTTTTCATTTCAGAAAATAACCATTTTCATCTAAGAAAAAACTCAACTAGAATGGTGAAGACAATTCCTTTATTTGGAATGGGAAAAATTTAGATTTAAAGTACTACAGGATGCAAAAGAAAGAGTAGGTGTAGCATTACTTAATATTAAATTATATTATTATGCAGCTGGATTGGTTTGGATTACAGGCTGGATTAAAAATTCTGATAAAAGGCCAATAAGACTGAAAATAGCAGATCTAGAAGAAGGAATATATAAGTATTTGTGGGCCAAGGAATCAATTAAAGAGGATCCAACAAAAATATTGTTTAAAAAGATTTTGGAATACTTTTAGAAGAAAGATTAGTACTCCAATATTTTCTTTGATGTCTCCAATAGAAGCATATTATGACAAATATTTAAAGAAAAACAATGTTTTTATTAGATGTGTAATAAAGAAAGAAATACATATTGAAATACATAAATTAACTTTTCAATAAATGCTAAGAATATTTTACCAGCAACTGTTCCAATTAATATGGGAGACTTATTTAAATATATGATAACAACAGCCTGAGTTCAATTGCAACAAAATGGAAAACAGAAGACTGAACAACCAGCAAAGATTGAAAAAACAAGCGAACTGAATATGCATTGATGGAAATATTGACCAACAATGTAAACAGAAGACTGGACAAAAATTTTAATGACAAAAGGGAAATACTTTATTTGATAAATGAGATAAAAAATAGAGTTTAAGTAAGGATGATTACGCTGATACATCTTCAAATAAGTCACAATAAGTAAATCCAGTTAATTAATTTAGCTACAAATGGAAAGTCTATCAAGTTTTATTTGTAACTGAGAGAAAAAAATAGAATCCTTGGATATTATTAATGCATAATGTAAACAATAATTAGATTAGTATGATTGGTTTCTGAAATAAGGAAAGGAGGGAGGGGAGTAGAAGTGGGAATAGGTGAAGAATGGAGAAGAGGAAAAGAGGAAGAAAAGGAGAAAGATTTTTAATTCTAATTTGGATATGCTTTGGGGTGAATCATAGCTTATTTGTTGTTTAAGTTAAAGGATTTTTTCATATGAAATTATTAGTTTTATTCAGTTACTTACCAGTTTAACAAGCATTATTTATAATTATGTATTATCATGTAAAATTTAGATGGAATAATTTAGATGGAATAATGTTTATTGCTGATTCCTTGTGAAATTTCCTGTATTTAGTTTTATAAAAAAAAAATTTGTGCAATGTCCCTTGATAACTTTATCTTTTTGATATCCTACATTTTTCTTTCTGTTTCTTATTATTTATGCCCGCTCCCCTCCCAAAAAATAGTGGTAACATGGATGAAACCATAAAGAGCAGCTTCCTAGCTGTTCTCCAAAACCCATGACCGAATTGGTCTCCTGAGTTAAGATAACAAGAGAGCCCTAAGCATGATACAACCCTAGGAGAAGCCATGGATTGTCAGTATGACATGTTGCCTCCAATTAAGCCATGCTGAGGGAAGTAAACTAGATTTGGACAACACGACAACCTGCCATGGTGGTGTAATCTGCAATGGGTGGTCATGTCATGCAAACTTGGTCAATCTCTGTCTTGGCAATATTCATTTTTTAAATTGCTAGAATTGTTAGAAAGTCCTTCCTAATTAATCAAGTTCTGTGCTGTTCAAAATCAATGTTGCTTGTCTTTTTCTCAGTGGAAATGGTGAAAAACGTGTGCCTTTCCACATTGAAATATGTTTAAAAAAAATTCAGAGCTTCAAGAATGTGCCCCCTTGGGGGGGGCGGGCAGAGCAAGCTCAGATGGACTCCGGACACTGAATTTTTACTCTTCCTGGCCATTGGGCAAAATATGATTAAAATATACCCAAATTAAGATCAAGAAACACTGAAAAAATGCATGAAATATAAGTTAATTCTTTTGTCTATCTCCTGGGAAGATTTGAAATACAGATATGGACTAAGAGTTGTTTTTGTAATTTGAAACTGCAGGGCCTGGTCCAGAGTAAGCTGCATCTCTGCTGATTATGGATTGAGAAACAGTGTTTATGTTATAAACACTCGGCCGCTTGTTATAATAAGCTTAAAAGCAGCTTGAGAAGTGGGGGGGGGGGTGGGAGGGAGAGTGGAGGTTGTTTATCTTGAACGATTCTTGTTTTTCTTGATAAGAAGGGACTCTCCTCCCTCCCTGGTGCAGCTGGAAGGCTGAGAGAAAGTGCTGAAAGGGAAAACATTAGGACAGAGCTGTGAGGAATGTATATCAACTTAATTAACATCCCAGGATTAGCTTCTCTGTGCTATATTGCTTTTACTATGGTGATAAAGGATAAGAAGTAAGGAGAAATAAATTTTAAAAAGAGGAAATTATGTAAAGTGGAAGACTGTATTTTAATAGTATTGCGAATTGTAATGCTTGAGCTCCCTCTGCTGGCTAGATGTTAAATTGCAGTTGCTGATCTACATACTGTTTGAAAGCTTAACTGCAATTGTGGACTGCAAATAAGATCAGTAAATGTAAGAGTTCTCTCCTCTTAGTTGG